ACGTTCGGCGCCCATGCGGGCCCCCACCCCTTGTGCCGCTGCAGCGTTTGCTCTTTCCTCGGCCACCCTCAGCTCAGCCCTCACCTTGTTTCCTCAGCAGTTCGTTACTACTGGACTGTAACTGGCAGATCTGAAATTCGAGCTGCTCACGCATCCGAACCAATGCAAGTGTTGCATCTTGCGGCTGGGTAATTATCCGTGCCGCTTGTCTCATGGCGAAACAATTGCGTCCGCCCCCTTTGCTCAATGCACTCGCCGCACATGCGATTGATGTTACATTGCTCGCAGGTACCTGGGCATTCCTCATACACTGGCCAATTCCAATCATGCGACTTTCCTGAACAGCGACGTTCTGCAAACTTAACAAAAAAGTATGCCGGGCCCCAGCACCTCTCTCCAGCCAACATCTGGCTGACATGTGATGAGCTGGACCTAACCGTAGATGCCATCATCATGTCTCCGTCTGTTACTGCGTACGGGTGGAAGGTAGATTGGGCCTCGCATGACGACGAGCCGCTTGCCTCCTCCAGTCTGCCCCGACGAATGGCGCCGATAGAACGCGACACGGGGCTGGCTTCAACGCCGTCGTGACCCGCGTCCTGCATATGAACTCCGCTGGGGATCTCTTCATCACCACTCACAGTGACGACCTCCCACCTAGGCGTCTGCGACGGGACCAGTCGGAGCAACTTTGCCCCGACACGGACGTCACACTCGAGTTCTTCGTCTCTCGCCCTGCTCGCAAGAATCTAGCTTGCCCTAGAATTGTGTCCCCCCGCTTGGGCACTAGGGACAAGGTTCCTCGCGCTGGGGACCAGGGTCAGGCAAAACACGCTCACGGCTGCACTGGGAGTAGTCTCATGTCGACCCTGGGCCGACTTCAAACACTCAGGCGTGTCAGGCGGCACGGGAACATCATGCGCATTCTCCTGATATCATTCAGTTGAGCAGGCGTTGCGGATGCCAGAAGCAGCGTGGCCCGCCGACTCAGCCTCAGGACGATCGGAATGTACTTCGATGATTTCGAAGATGGCATCTTCGATCTCAGCGAAGAGGTTCGTATAGATGCCCATCCAATACGCAGCGACATACGCTCCTGGTGGAGCATCTATTCCGCCTCATGACGACAAGGCCCACCAAGGCGCACGCACGATTTCCTTGCGGCCGGGTGCGATTAGTGCTCGGCTCCCCCAGCAAAATCTGGGGGTAGTGCATGTTTCCGATATTTGCTCTGAAACCGAAGAGACGCTCGTCCGTCATCGGAGGTTCACTCGAGGTAGTGGGTTGTTCCGCCCTTTCTGGGATCAAACATGTTGTACGCATCATAGCCCCAATCTTGAGTTTGGGCTTTATTGGCCAGATCATTTATGGATTTGTCTTGCGTCTCACTGTCACCACAGTTACTAAAACGCTTCGTAATACAGTTCCTGTGATGATCGCCAAGACGCTTTGCGTCAAGATCCCTATCCATCAAATTGTCGGTTGGTGACCTCTGTTTCGTCGGATAATTGGCCATATATCAGGATTGAGCGTGTTCCTTGGTTTTCTCTCCTAGCTCAAGAGATCCCTTCATATGGTACCAGATGGACCCATTTCGCGGTAAGAAACATAAGAATGTACCTAATGCGCGAGCACTAGAGATCACGAGCGCACCTTTTCCTGCCCGGTCGCGGCCACGCCCGTTTAAGTTATCCTCGCAACACTTGAGCCAAACAAGCGCAGCGGCGCGCGGCGCGAGGATGGATGCCAAAAATGACAGGAGAAAAAGAGCGATGGCAACGACTAGAAATCAGGGCCAGCGTCCCGGGACTTGCTTAAACCAAACCTTGGCCAAGTTCTGTTGTTCACGCGAGAGGGGCGAGCGTGCTCACGAAACTTGATCACTTTTCTGGCAAGTTGGTGAAGAAAAGCTAGCCCAACTTCTCGAGATGAGGTTTCTTAATCGGATGCTCGACTGTATTTTCTTCCCGCTCCTGAAGACACCAGCGCTGGGATCCACAGCAGTACGCTGACCACTGCCCCAGTGAACACGCCTCTGGAGAGCAAGCAAAAGGGCACGCGTGCCCCAAAACCCTCTGCAGGGAAGGATGCCGAAGACGAGGGGGGGAGGAGGCCAAGGGGAGGGATGGGGGGAAAAGGGCGTGAGGGTGGAGAGGCGAGGGGCGAGAGAGCACGGGGAGGCAGGGACAGGTGTTCCGAAGAGACCCAAGCGCGTATGGCAAGGGCTGGAGTGTCTGCCTGGGGCTGGAGCACGAGCGGAACTGAACTCGCCCGCCGCCTGCGGCCAGCAGGGCGGGACCGGAGAAGACGGAGGGACCAGCCCCTGCCACTCTTCCCCAGCTTCCCCGAGCAGGTGTGCCCTCCAATTTCGCTCCCCGCGCCGATGGTTGCAATGGTCACCGCGCCTCTCCTCCAGAGCGACCGGCCCGCCGGATCTGCCGACATGGCCGCGGGCCCTGCTCTGCGGCAGGGGCGCGCTTCAAGGCCTCGCGCCGAATGGGCCGCAGGGCTACTCGGGCGGAACATGGGGGATCCCCATCCCCCTTCGCCCCCCCGCCCCCCCCCTCCTCCTCCCCTCTTGCTCCCCCCTCCTACGCCCACCTCCTCAAGCGCCCTCCTCCTACGCCCACCTCCCACCCCCTACGCCGACCTCCTCCTCCCCTCCCGCTCACCCCTCCCCTTCCCCCTCTCCTGCGCCCACCTCCTCTGGCTCCCTCAACCCCCCTCCGCCTACAGCATCCTCTCCATAGCTGCGGGCCGATCGAGCACCGCTCGCGGCGGGCGGCCACGCAGCTCCGACGCTTCTGAGACGCGGGCTCGTCATTTTTCAGCATGCTGCTTCCCAACGCTGCGCCCGCTCAGCCTCCACGGGGATCGCGGCGCGGATGTCAGTGGGTCGCGCCACCTTGACCGCGCGCCCAGCTCATCCGTAGGTGGGCATTCGGCGCGCGAACTCACGGCACCGAGCACCACATTGTCGAGGATCAGGATGAGCGGCAGGAAAGGGAGCGGCGTGGTAAAACTGGAGAAACATGGTAGAAAACTGGAGAAAGGAGGCATCAGTGAAACATGGTAGGAAAGGGTAGGTCGCGGCGGAGACGAGGCGGGCGAGGCGGGGGAAGACGAGGCGGGACTACAGAGAGCGGGGGTGGGGGGGATCGGTTTGCGCTTTGGTTTGCGAGTTCGACAGAGGAGCACAGGAGGCGCGGAGGGCGGTGCGGAGGACAGCGGCGACGACGAGGGAAAGGAAGAGGAGAGGGACTGGGACGAGGATGACGAGGAGGAGACGGGAGTGGAAGGATGGGGCGGGAGGGCGGGAGGGCGAGGAGAACGATGCAGAAGCGGACGTGAAGGAGGACCAGGAACTGCAGCACATCCCGCGCGAGGCAACAGCGACTACAGTTGGACCAAGGCAACGAGCAGGATCGCCACTCCGCCTCTTGCCGCCGTTGTGGTAAGCGTCGTAAGCGTTACTGTCGTCGTCGTTGTCTTGATGATCCCCTTCCCCCTCCCTGGCACAGCGCGCAAGCTGACTGCGACCCCCCCTCTCCTCTCCCTGAAGGAAGGATCTCGCGGCCAGCGCGCTTGCGAGAAGCCCTCTGCACAGATGGAAGCCCATGCTGAAACCAAATGAATATCCGAGACGGGGAACGGATGGGAACAATGTAGGAACCGCGTGGACAACACAGTGGGCTCATAAGGCTTGATTCTCTGCAGCGCCCGCGCAAACGCAAGGACCACGCGGAATTCATCGCTCCACTGGGGCAGGACTCATCAGCGCATCCGGGCAGGGATGTGGGCCACCCTGCTATGATTAGAGGAGGCGCCAGGAGGGAAAAAAGAGGGTTAAGGGGCACCCTGAGGAGTCGACGGCGCCGCTGTGCAAGGGTGCAGCTCTCGCTGGGGTAAGCTATTCGTCTGGAAAGGCCCGTAGCACCGCAGGGCAATGGCACAGTGGTGACCAAGGAGGAGGACAGCGAAGCACTTCTCGCTGGGGTATGGCCTGCGTCCTGGGCCCCGCCCTTCCGCCCGCGCCGAATGGCCCCCCGCTCACTGCGAGCAACGGTCAGCGTCGCCCCCATCATCAGCAGCGGCCAGGCGCCGCTGGCAACGCATGCTGGCCCGTGTCCGAGGACGTCCAAGACGCTCCGAGCACAGCGGAGAGCGCCCCTGGCTGGGACCTGCTTCCCTTTCGGGTGTGGGAAGGCCTGCGTGCCGAGCATGGCGGCGCCGCCACGCCCGCCAGGGGCCCCAGCTCCCGAGCAGGTGACTTTCACGCCGCGAAGAGCCGAATCTCGCAAGCCAATCGCGAGGCGCGAAGGGCGCCCGGGCGGCCCTGGCGATCGGAACCAAAAACTCGCGCGCCCGAGGGCAATGCCAAACGCCGTGGCGTGCGCGCGATCTGTTTGCCTTTGCCGATGATTGCTAACAGCTGCCAGGTAAATCCGCATGTCTCCATCGGAGGAGGGGGGACAGAGGAAGGGGAGAGAGAGGCCCCCCCGCCCCTAGACCCACCCCTATCTCTACATCCATCTTCTCCCTCCTCCCTGCTACACCTTCTGGGGGGAAGTAGTCACACATCGCACTACAAAGGTCATCCTGCCTGGCGGCCTTTGGGGGACTTGGATATGTGATCCCTTCACGCCCTCGGTGGCACAGTTGATGGTGACCAACGGCCGCACCAACAGGGACTTTGCCCTGCAAAGGTAGACTGGACCAAACAACTCATTCGCCCCCCTGGTCTCTGGAGATCCCCGAAGAAAGTCCCCAGAGGCCTCCAGAGGTCCCCCGAGGCATCCCGAGACACAAAAGACATCCGAGGCTCAAAAAGGGGGGGGAACACACACAGAGACAGACAGACATCCAAAACCGTTGGTCTTCGATCCTCCTCTTCCTCCTCCTCCTCCTTCTCCTCCTTCCTCCTCCTCCTCCCTCCCCCCCCCCCCCGGCGACGGCAACCACTACCACCGCGGACACGACGACGGCGCGACCGCTGCAACCTGTAGCGCCGACCGCGAGCCGACCGCGGCAACCAGCGGCCCCTGGAGGTCCGCCAGCGCCCCTGCGTCTCCTCCGACGGTCGCGCCGCACGGGTGGGGGAGGAGAGGGCGATCCGGCCTCGACGGCCGCGCTTCGAGGATTTGGGCTGTGCGACGAACTGTTGCTCTCTTGGGGGGCCTCCAGAGGGCTCGTAGTCGCCACGGGCGGATTCGCCCTGAAATTCTGGCACGAGGGCACCCCTGTACAAGTCCAGGGGCCGAGTTTGACGGGAGTGCAAGGGCAGGTGGAAGAGCAAAGGCACCACAGAAGCAGGTGGAACAGGAGGAAACGGATGACTCAGAGAAGGAGGAGGAGGAGGATGAGGAGGAGGAGGATGCTTGTTATTGCCACCAATGGCAACCGAGATGACCACATCCTCCTCAAGCGGGAGGGTGGCGCCCGCACAAGGAAAAACGAAGCTCGTCCTGCGACTCAGCCAACCATTTCTAAACACGAGGCGGGAACGAGCAGGGCGGCTCAATACGCAAGGACACAAAGAAAGATACACAATACCAGGGGGGCCAAAGAGTGAGTCATTGACCTCATTCCCCTAACATCTGCCTTCGTCTCCTCCTAGTAGCCTGATAGATGCGGGCAATGTCATATTAAATCTCGATGTCCTACCCGCTCAAGTGGACTCCGGCACCTAAGAGGCGGAACAGCTTGCTCTTATGTAGAGCGGTGGGAAAGGAGTGGCGCAAAAGACAACAACGACGTGACTGACCGAGCCCTCCTCCTCCTCATCCTCCTGCAACTCAGCGTCCCACTCGTAATCCTCCAACTGCTGTCACTCCCCTCATCGACGTGCAACGGTAGTCGGTCCAAGGGGTGAGTCCCAGGCCTCCGAATACTCGGTCTTGTTCGGGCCGCGAGCCCCTTGAGAACTTCCGACCTCTTCCCCGTGGCTGGCTTTGCATCTCCGAACGCTTTCCTACAGCACCAGACCCGAGGGCGAAACCGACAGCTAGCCAGACAGACAGACAGGCAGACAAACAGACAGAGACAGAGAGACATAATGACAGACAGACAAACAGGCAGACAAACAGGCAGAGAGACAGAGAGAGAGAGAGACAGACAGACAGACAGACAGACAGACAGACAGACAGACAGACAGACAGACAGACAGACAGACAGACACGCAGACAGACAGACAGGCAGACAGAGAGAGAGGGAGACAGGGACAGACAAACAGACAGACAGACAGACAGACAGACAGACAGACAGACAGACAGACACACAGACAGATAGACAGACAGACAGACAGACAGACAGAAGCAGCGCGCGTCAAAGGTTTGCTTGTAAAGAATGCAGCTGCGGCACTCGAGGGAAGTAGGGGGGCTGCCAGGCATCCTCCCTCCAGAGGGGCCGCTCCTGACGTCGCGACAGCGCTCCCGTTGATGCCCGGCGCCAGGTCCAGCAGCGGGAGGTCGGGGTCTGGGCTGGATCGCTGCTGGCGCGGGGGGCGGGCGGGTAGGGTGGTTCCCAAGGGCGTGGGCAGCCTCGAAGGTTCCCCCACAAGCTCCAATGTCTGCTCCTCCGTGTTATCCTGCCAAACACCCCGCTCACCGCTCATGTTTCTCCTCATCATTCTCCGCCTGCTCCTCATTCATCCGCCTGCTCATCCTCCTCCTCATTTTCCGCCTGCTCCTCCTCGTCCTCGTCCTCGTCCTCCTCCTCCTCCTCCTCCTCCTCCTCCTGCTCAGCATCATCATCATCAGCAGCATCATCATCAGCAGCAGCATCATCGTCATCACCCTCACCATCACCATCATTATCACCATCATCATCATCATCATCATCATCATCATCATCATCATCATCATCATCCTCATCATCATCCCCATCCTCATCATCATCCACATCCTCATCCTCATCATCACCATCATCAGCCACACCATGTGGCAGCAGCAAGGGCATGCATATGTCTTCCCTTGAGCCGAAGTGCCGACTTACATCGGACACCTTGGATACACAACACATGCAAAACCTATGACACAAAAACTGCATTCCTGTTTCACAGGTAAGAATTTGTCCTAGGTTTTACAGCCCCGGCTTCCTGCCTGCTGTGACGGGCAGATGCAGTCTACTCTAGAGACTGCCCCAAAAGAAATGAAATAGGCATAGATAGCGGACCATTGGAAGATGGACGAAAAGAGGACAGGCGAGGACGAGGAGGAGAAGGTATTAGGACCACCACCACCACCATCACAAGCCAGGAACTCTGACCAGGAAACAAACTCGCTGTCCAGGATCTTCCGGGGGGCCATCTGGGTTCTGCTCTTCGGACTTGGTGCCTTCCTGCGACGCCCCACTTCTTCGCCCTCGTCGACACGGACCAGCCTGCCGCTGATCATTCGGTCGAAGAGGGTTGCATTGGCTTTGGTCACGTCGTCTTTCGTGAGGTGTCGAATGGCATACGTCCATGCGGGATCCATGTCACGTGGCCCTTGGCTCGCCCCAGGGATTCTCATATGATAGCCAAATATATCGCCGTGCGTCTATCACGCGCACTGGCATTCCCTTCCTTCAGCATGGTATCATAGATAGTCTTGGCGTCGACCACGTGCCCTTGAGGCTCCCTAGAGCCCAAACGACAATTACTTCTCAAAACGGTGGTAAACGGCCCTGCTCCCCGATAGTGGCCACTCACATCAACATCTCGACATATGAGGTCCCGATATAGTATTTGGAGGTACTCCACTTCTGACACCGCTGCCGCCAGAGCCTGGGTCTCTCCGGCAAGCGTTGAGGAACTGTCCTACGTAACCTAGAGCACCTCCGCCCCAACATGGAGGCTCTAACGGAACGAGTTTCGATGTTTTTGTCGGTAGCGCACACCATCCAGGCACCCTGGGTCGGATCTTCTGGCAAGCCTCGATCATCCTCGAGACCGTCGAAGCCTCCCACGCCTCCTGCATCGGAGAAAGTGACAACGGCAAGCTGACTGAAATCCAACCTCTACACGGTCAGGCCCCGCGAGGCTATGGCACGGAAGTGTCTAGCTAGCTCGTTGGCGAAAACAACATCCCCCGTCGCGGCAGCTCTGAATCGACTGGCCAAGGTACTAGCGACACCGGCTGCCTCCGGACGGACTCTCCTGCCCACCCAGTTAAGTTTGTAGACAAGTGAACGTAGAGTTCGAAACCCGGCTTGATCTGGGGGCGCGCTCTTGGTGGACAGGCGGCCCTTACTCATGGATAATGGCGCCACGTCTTCCAAGATGTACCTCTCCATGCCCAGGGGGGCTGTCTGAGGCCCGATAACCACCCTACGCCGGGCAAGCTCCACTGGTCCCGGCTGACAGACCTGGCATTTACCAAAATTAACACCTGGCATCGAATTTTTTCCTGAACCATCCCTTAGTAGACGCCGAGGGGATCCCTATGATGAAATCGCCAACCTCGAGTAGGATCAGATTCAGGATCTCCCCTTCGCCCCCACAGCGGACCCACCAGCACTGTTTTAGAAGACCCCAGGTGAAACCGTGCTGCCCAAGAAATCTGACCACTGTCTTCCTCCACGCCACGGGGGCGTCGTCATGGCCGCGGCGTTCACTTTGAAGGAAATGAGGGGTCCCTTCGGCACGCCCACCCCTTCGCAGGGCTCAACGCAGATGCCCCCCTGGGCCTTGGCCACGGGGTCCGATTGGCAAAGGGCATTCTTGACATCCGCGACGTCCGCACACCTGCTGAGACTCATGAGCACGTGCACGAACATCAGAATATTCGATGTTTGCGGGGCGGGGGCATAAAATTGCAGCGAACCCGGATCGGGATCTCTGTGACCACGCACACACCGCAGAGATTTGGCCATGGGCTCTGACCTCGTGCCCTCGACGGGTTTCCACCTGCGGACCATCCGACTTGAAATGATTCTGTCCGGCTGAGCCTTGCGGATGACCTCGGCCTTGTCAGGAGGAATGACTTCGACCGCCCCCGCCCCCATCATGGGGTTCCACCCCTTATTGTCAGCAATGGAAGCTACTCCCTATCGGCAGGCGACAAATTCTTGAGGGAGACTTCGCCTCCTCGATTGGCCGCGAAAGAAGGCGCTGAGTCCTCTCCGGCATCGATCAGTCCAGCCCAGTCGCCCTGGCTCCAGGAAGCCAAGATAGCCTGGACACCACCACCACCAGGAGGGGCGATGAGGATGAAATCGTCGGTCTGCTCTCTGGGAGGGGAGCGACTCCCCCGGCGGCTGGCGGCGCCGAGTCTGGCCTCGATGTAGCGCGCGCGCTCCGCCGCTGAGCGACGGGGCTCGCCCCCGGCGGCGACGGGCCTGACCTCGCCCCCCTGCGCCCCAGGCCCGGAGGAAGAGGAGAGGGTCGAGGGATCGGCCATGGGTTCGGTAGAGACATGCAAAAGAAGAGGAAGAGGGGAGAGCAGGAGAAACGGGAAAACCACAGCCCCCGGCTCAAACCGAGCCCTCTCGATGTCCGGGGGACTGCTCGCTGCCCTAGTGCTGCGAATGCAAGCTGGAACATCTTCTGGCTGGACCAGCCTGCGTCGGGTTGGTGCACTTTAGAGGAGGAGGAAAGGAAGCGGACCCCTCGGTGGGGTCGGGGGGACCCAGGGGCCGATCGTCAGAAATCTGCCTCGAGAGACCCCCGCTGGGGCGGGGCGGGGCCACAGGAGAGGGGGCGCACTTGGCTCCGAGTCCTCTCGCTGCCAGCTCGAGCCTCGACCGAATCGGCGTCGGACCAGGCTCTACGGATTACTCTACCCCCTGCGGTCCCCGGGGGTCCAAACACCGAGGGGGGAACCACCGAGACGGGTGCCTCGTCGGGCCCGGCGGCAACCTTGGGCCCTGGGGCCAGGATCTGGGGAGCCTCGCTTGCGTCGCGGCGAGTTGGCTCGCCCCCTGGCGCCATCAGGGGGAGGGGCCCCGCGCTGGGCGTCTACTGCGGAGGCCCTATGGGTCCGGGCTGGATCTAACAGATCTCTCCATCGCGGGCTTCAGGCGAGCTGCATGCCAAGCTCCTCGTCCGGGCTGGCAAGCCTGACGTCTTGCTCCGCAGAGCACTTCCACAACCTAGAACGAACCGCCACCCAGACAGCGCCCCCCTTCTCGCGCAAAACCACGACGCCTGGCCCGGCCCAGCAAGCCTCACGTCTCCCGAGCGCATCGGCTCGGGAGGAGGTCCTGCTCAGATCCCGCCAGACAAACACCCGCTGGCCTCAAATTCATCGCCGGAACTCCAGCGAGGGAAGCGCGAACTATTTTCTCGCGAGAGTTGGCCTCTATGGCCAGGCGACGGGCATCAGCTCGGACTTTCTGAGATTTGGCGCACTCGGCCCCTGCCGCATCCTGCTCCGAGGCGGGGCTGATCATGTCTCTCCAGCCCGAGACCCCCCGCGCGTCGCCACTCGAGATGTCGCGCGGGAGCTGGCCGAACACGAGTTGGAGTGGTGAGAAGCCCCCGCGATGCCGGAACCGATTTTGATGGGCCACCAACTCGTGGACGAGATCGCCCAGTTCGTCCAGGGTCACCGGGGCCGAGGCGCCCGCATCCACCTCTGACTTGATCCTGTCCTTGGCCCATTCCCCGTGTCGTCCCAATCTGCCATTTCCCAAGGGCTGTCCGCGTCGCACACGCGGCGAAGAACCCCCCGCTGCTCAAGGCCCCGGGCAAGCCGCTCCCCGGATTCGGCACCTCCATCGGAGAACAAGAAATCTGTGGCTCCAAACGGACGGATCCAGCACGCGGAAAATCCCGACCAGACAGCAGCCGCCTTCGCATCGGCTAGACGAACACAAACACCTGAAGGTTGGACCCATGGTCCGCCTCGCTGAGAAAGGAGCGCGTCGTTCCCAGGATCTCTGAATAGAAAAAAGCGATCCCCACGATATGGTTGAACCGAGGGCGACCTTCTGGCGGTTCCCAGCTCTGCGACGCTCGACGCACTCTGAGCACTTGAACCCGTCACGGGCCCACCTGACAAGGTGGCGCTCCACCCCCCAGCACGGAGAACGCCACCGAATTTCCTCGAATCTGGTTGACCCATGTTCACGCGCAGCTTGTCAATCAGTCGCTTTGGGGCCCTGGGAGATGGAGTTCTTACTCCTGGGCCTGAGTCTCGGGCTCGCCCTGATCGCTGTCAGCTGAACCCCCCTCCTCGCCCCCATCACGAGGACCTCCCTCGTCGGGGGCCGCCGGGGAGCCCTGCTCCGTCAGCTCGGCCCACGCGGGCCTCAACCTCTGAGACGCCCCGCCCCAGTGTTCTTCAACCGCGCGGGCCGCGAGCTTCGCGAACTTTGGGGGGGGGACTGGGGGGCCCTCGAGGTTTGCCAGCTCCCCTCGAGGGTCGCGCGAGCGCGCCCCACAGTTCAGGGGTGGCCATTTAAAGCTCTGATGACTTGGGGATGGTTGGCAAGGATGCTAGTGGGCTTCTCGCTGAAGCCCTGGTCGCCCACCTACAACCCGAAACAACACATGCCCACCCTAAGTCG